TTGTTGTATATATTATCTTAAATTGTTGGCTGAATTACATTGATTGCAATCTTTATATAGAACTCAAATAATATGTTAAGATAAATATATGGTAATACCGAACGAAAAATGGAGGATAAGGGTATAATATGAATAAAGAAATATTTTTTTTAGTGTTTGAATGTAAATTAATTTCCTAATATGATGGTAGAATTATAGCGGTTATAACTTTAAATTCATTTAACTAGAGGGTATTGATATTGTTGGATGATTTTTTTTAAATGTTAAGTATGATTTTAAGATTTAGGGACAAAAAGGTAATTTTATTTGGGATAGAATAAAGAAGGAATATTTGAATTTACGTTTTGAAGGTATCAATAAACTCCAAAATTTATGTGATTTATTTCAATTTGATTGCAAATTAGACGCAGAAAACCTTTAAGTAAAGAAATATAAGGGCAAAAAGGTAATTCGACTTAGCAAACTAGAATAACATTGGGCTGGAAAAGCAATTCGGCAATAGATATTGAGATGACACGTGTACTAAAATGATTCTTTTAGTATGATAATACAATTTTTTTATCTAAAGGGTAAATCATTAATTGGACAATGTTCATCAGAAGGGTAAATCAGCAATTTAATTTAAAAATGGAACAAATCGGTTGTTGCTACTATTTCTGTTTGTTTGATTATCTCAACTTGGTTACTGTTTCTGACCTTATTGTCGAATATAATAGCTTCATATTATACCATTTTTAGGAATGTACTTTTAAAGTACATTGTTATACCATTTTTAACAGTAGCATGTTGTGATTTTTTCGTGTTTTAAATGTCTATTTTAATTTATCTTTTATTCACTATTAAGGGGATAGATTTTATAAACAATTTAATCCAGAAAGGTTAAACTATAATTATTCTAATTTGTATATGTTTCTGTATAGTAAATACAACCTTTCAAAGATTGCTTTCCGTGACTAACAAAATTATGTTTCTATTTTTGAAATCTCATAAAACATTACATAAGGTTTTTTGGCTTAACATATTACATCATTCAGTCTAAATTAAGTCAAACAAAACAACGATGTATAACTTTTCATATTAATGGATTAACCTATTAACTTGGACTCGATCCTCAACAACCTTTACAAACTGCAATAGCATCATACATTTCTTTTTATCTATCAATAGCTATGTCATTTTTTTTACAAATTACAACAACATACTTACCATGAAAAAAACTTTTAATTTTAAACTACAACTTAGTTTTTTTTACATGTAACAACAATATACAACACTTAATATCAACATCCTTGCTTACCGGTTTCTCAAATTATTAATACATGAACCATATTAGAAGTTGGCTAAGAAGTTAGAATCTAAATTAGGAATGATCTTATTTCCTTGAATATCAGATTTACGGTATTATAGACAAATTTTTTTATTTAATTCTTAAATTTTCTATGTGGTCGTATTTATATGGTAGAATCAAATTACATAACTACAATTAATATTTTTTTATCAAATTACACAACCAGGTATAAATTTTGGTTTTTTTTTCCAGATTTTTAGCATCATGTGCTTTTGTTGTTTGCAACTTTGTAGTGTTACATGCTTTGTTTTGGGCAATAAGGTTTTATTTGGTTCTTAAATTATTTTGCAGAAAGTAATCCAATTTGGTATTATTGATCTCACAAAAGGCAAGTCTCATGTCTCTTTTAGAGTATCTATTGAGTTTAATAGTTTCTTGTCTACATTTGTTTTTAAAAAATGTTAAATCTTGATTTAATGAATGCAGGTCAGCAGGTATTAAAGGTGCAAGAAGAGCAAAATATTAAATATAGGATGATCATGGCCATGTCAAGCCAAAATAAAATTTTAAAGTAACAACTGCTAAATTCAAAAGGTAAACACTTGTAATGCAAAATACATATTATACTTTCCAAATAAATAACCAAAACTAACCTCACATTTTAACTAACATCAATAAATTATGATTACATTGTCTTGATTTTTAATTATACATTATAGAGAGTCGGTTAATATATAGTCAATATTTTTATATTCGTATCAGTTTTGAACTACAAAAACTAAATTCAAATAATAAAAATGAAATGGAACATATACGATGGTAATAATGTGAAAATTACCTTCAAATTTGGTCTGATACAAAAAAATAGTCTAAAACTTATTTCTAAAAGTAACAAGAAATAACAACGAATTTTAAAAAAAATGAGAAATTGCAACGAACTTTTCAAAACTATCAAGAATGTATAATATATGATGATATTAATGCTAAAAAACACCGAGTTTGGTCTTATGCAAAAAAGAATAATTTTATATGAAAGTAGGATTGCAGTAATACTAAAAGGACTTATATGTTTTTTATCTGATGCAAAAATGTTCGAAACATACTTCTAAACCGACAAGAAATAGCAATGAACTTTAAAAAAACAACTAATATATAACAATGTACTTTCAAAAATCTCAAGGATGTAAATTACAGAATGGTAATAATGATAAAAACATTAGTTTGGTCAGATGCAAAAAAGAAAATTTTTATACTGAAGTTAGGATGCTAATAATGCTAAAATTGGTCAAATACTGCAAAATTTGCTACAATTGGTTTATGCCTGATAGTCGGAGGTACATGCTATACTCATCTGACAAATTTCATTCTTTCCAAAAACATTCAATTCCATTCCTTACAATTAACACTTCTTTCCATTAAACTTTTATGATCGTTTGGTGTTGTATTCAAGTATCTTCTCAGTATGCGATTTCCATCTTAAACCGTTTAATAGATTCCCTATTCAGTCAATTGTAGGTTATCGACGCCTCCATCTTTTTAACATTCCCATAAATTCGGCCCAATTTTATTAATCTCTATTTGAAAATTTTAACTTTTTTGATCTGTTTAGGGTTGTCCGTTGAACCCATTGAGGCGGTGATGAAGGAATTCGAGCTTTTAACTGCATGTCCTGGTAAGTCTCTACCTTATCACATGTTTAAGAAATGGAACCTCAATTTATCAATTTCCTTAATGGTCTTGTCCCGCTTTAATTACGGTTGGCTACTTTTGTATTAAATGGGTATATAATGAAAATCAAGTTTTTTTTTGTTCTTTTATCTGTTTAGCATTTAAGCAACAAGAAAACATTGTTTTTTTTTAATTCATCTTGAACAACCATTTAATAGCTATATGTAAAAGATATGAATACTCAGCAGTTAAGACCACAAACCTTAGTCAAACGTCCGCAAATGTCTTGACGTAAGCATTTATTTTTCCATTATCTTAAAATTAAAAAAAAAACATCCTCATGTGTTTAAATTGTTTAATCCATCTCATAATAACAAGTAAGTTGTGTGCCAATTCTGTCTTTTGACATTTTCAATGAATCATGAGCAATATCTAAATTGAGCAAACATAACTGTTTTTATATTTATTGGTTATAATTTCTTTATATTTAATATTGTAGGGGTTGTATGTGGTTCATTTTAAAGGAACATAAATAAGTTGCTTTTTTTTGAAATAATCAAGTTATATTTCGCAATATAACCATAAAATAACAATGTGTATTTTGAAAGTACATTGTCAAATGTTGGGCTATACTTGCGTAGACCCACTTTCACGCATGGTCGGCTCTATATAGTTGTTTCCCGTGTCACAAGTAAAAAAGGTTTGGAGTTACTCATATGTGACGAGTAAGGTAGTTCAACTAACAAAACAAACAATGTTGTCTACAAAGAGGTCCTTCAATGAATATATATTTACCGATTTCAATGTATTTTCTACACATTTCAATAATATCAATAACCATGATTTTTTTATAATTATTCTGCAAAATCTATATACATCTGTATTTTATTTATGCGTTCATCCACGTAACGCGGGTCATAATCTAGTAACTAAAATCATACTAATAACTTAAAAAGGGTAACATGTTTTAAATTATGTACATATTTAGTTTTTTATATTTATTTTTATATACATTTAAATATTTATGTTTTTTATACATATTTAGTCACTTATGTTTTTTAATTGTATACATATGACCATTATATTTAATGGTTATATATATATATATATATATATATATATATATATATATATATATATATATATATGGGAAGGCTCATGCGAAAATGCAAACAATATATGAAAATGCAGGAACCAATAAGAAAATGCCACATCATTATTCATGTTTTCTTCATTTGTTTACTTTAAATTATTAATAAAGAGTAAGAAAGTAATTAACATAAAAACGTGATTGAATAAGTTGTTCATATTAATAACCTTAAACAAAAACTGACATATTAATTTAAAATTAACTTCTTCAGTCTGTTTATGATCGACAAAATCATATCCATTAAAATCATTGATTGATTTCATTACGATATCAAATTGAAGAGATGTCTACTAAAGAATATGAACAGATTTGTTCTACTGATTTAATTGATAAAGCAAATGAATCTTCCAATGCTTTAACTATTGGAACTTCAATATCAACATTAAACGATGGAGATAAAGGCAAGTTTTCAGTCATTATAATTATTATATTTGTGATGTTAATATTCAATATTTAGATTTGACTAACATTACTACACTATATTAAAAATTCCATAAATTTCTTTTAACGATGATACTGAATCCTTCATTCAACCTTCAAAAGGAACTTCAGGATCCACAACAAAGGAAAATCTTAAAGGCATGTTCAATTACTTTTTATTAAATAAATATTTATATATATATATATATATATATATATATATATATATATACTTATTTCAATATTAATCTTTTTGAATATTGGACAGGAAATCATGAATTGCAAGACTCTTTCAATGTTTTAACAGTTGGAACTTCAATATCAACATTCAACGATGGTGATAAAGGCAAGTTTTCATAAATTATAAGTAGTATATTTCTGATGTTAATATTCAATATTTAAATTTGACTTACATTACTAAACTATATTTAAAATTACTAATATTTCTTTAAATGAAGAAACTGAATCTTACATTCAACCTTCAAAAGGAACTTTAAGTTTACCATGTTCGAAGACAATTCTTTTACTAAATTTTTTATCACTTCTGTTAACCAACTTCCTGCTCCTTGTAATGCTCCGAACTTCAAAATCAGAATCACTTAAATAATCTAAAATATGTATAACAAAAAAAAATATTAACTTAAAATGTAAATTACTAATTAATTTAAAGAATAACAAAATTAGGATAACTAACCTTCTGTATCTGATGATTTTGAGTTTAATCGACCAAACAAACCACGTTTTCTCTTTTTCATTGAACTATACACATACTGATAAACATTATTCCTTGGCTTTTTCTTCTTCCAAGAATTACTAGATGAAATGTCAATTGTCTTCTTCATAGAATTACTGGAATTAATCTCAATTGGACTCTCATTATCTAAACATAGAGGCATAACAAAATCAAACCAAATACAATCTTAAATATGTCATTTTATAAAACTTTAACAACAAAACAAAATAACTTACTCTCCTTCTTCACTTCACCAGATCGAAAATTTTCTTCTTCTGATACTTCATCATCATCTATTTCGATAGGATGATCACGAGAATTAACCATGAAATCAACTTTGTCCACATTCTCATTTAAATAATCCTTCTTCCTGGAAACCATTTTCTGCGACGCAATTGGAAATTTCTTCATGAATTTTGAATGTGAACTTACCCTATTCCTGTTAACTTTCGCATCTAACAAAGCTTTAAACGCAAACATTATGTTGCATAAAATATAAATACATAATCTATTAATAGAGAAAACTTAAAAGAAAAACTCTGAATAAATTTTGAAATAAAAAAAACGAAGATCTTCATACAACAACGTATAAACGGTTACATCAATTTGAAAACCGACTAATCAACCTTCACCGCCGGTTACATTCATAATAGATAACTACATGGATAAATTACATTTATAACCTTTTAATTAAAATAAAACATAAAAACCAATACATTACGTGTAAAATAAAAAAAAAACTACTACTATACACATGCTTAATTCCTATTGGTTCTTTTCATTTTGACATATTAATCTCATTTGTATGCGAACATAAACCCACTTTTATATATATATATATATATATATATATATATATATATATATATATATATATAAACATTCACAATCTAAATTATGTTACTATTTATCTTATTATCGTTTTTTTTATAATTTTGTTATTACATTTTAAAATTCGTTATCAAAATCATTAAATCTTCTATACAATTGAAAAACAAGAAATATGCTACCATGCTAAATGAATTCTATCATAGAATTTCTATGATTTAGTTATTATTAATTTATTATCAAGTTAGTATCTACGATCGCTTGAAATCTAAAAGCTTAAAATAAAATAGTTCTATTTTTAAATCTAAAATATTGATTCTTGACTCGCCGTTCAATTGAAAAAGATTTCTATAATTTAATGTCGTTTTTAAAATTTGGATGACCAAAAATCAAAAAATTGACCTAACAAATGTCCTTATTTATAATTTGTCTTAATTTGCACAAATGATTGTCGTAACTTTTTCATTTAAAAATAAAATTACGAAGAAATAAAAACTAGAACCATTAGAAATCCATGATAAAATCCTTTCTTGCTTTCCCTTATTTTCATCTCCTTTCTTTCCACCATCATCTATGGACTCCAGCAACAGTGGCAGCTTTCAGTCATCAAGCGGCGGCGCCGGTGGTGGCGATAATAATGAAGAATATGATTCAAGAACTCCATCGATATCTTCCTTCCTAAATCCTTCCAACCACTTCAACCCTAACCTCAACCACCTCCTACAACCACTGTCGTCATCATCTCATCACCACCACAACCACCGTCCGCCACCCTCTGACACCTCCTTCTTTGATCCTTCTTCAACCTCGTCCTTTTCAACCCCAAACACGCTCCAAGATCTCGGCTCAGTCTGGACCGGAAACATCCGCTCGGACCGGAACCTCGCAGACTTCGGTACCTACGCTATTAACCCTAACCCGGCATCAACCATGGATACAAATACAAAAACTAGTCATGGATCGGATCATCTTCATCAAGTAACAGTAAAGAACCCAAAGAAACGTACGAGAGCTTCCCGGCGAGCACCCACCACCGTTCTCACCACCGACACGACTAACTTCCGGCAAATGGTTCAAGAATTCACCGGCATCCCCACCGCACCTTTCTCCTCCGCCCCATTTTCTCGCCGTCTGGACCTTTTTGGTCGCGGTAGTGACGGCGGCGGCGGGTCGTTGTACCCTCTCCGGCCGTCGGCGCAGAAAGTTCAACAACAGCAGCCATCATTTTTGAATTCTACGGCCAATATTGTAGAGTCTGGCACTAGCAATAATATTACTGCCGCCACTACTTCAAGTAATTACCAATTAGCCCCTTCCGATATCCATGATTTTCAAAAACAACCCTCTACTTTGTTAGATATACAAAACCCAATGTTATCGTTTCAATCCCTCTTACAAACCACACTTCCTCAGCAGCAATCCAACCATTTGAGTGGTTTTCATGATCCTTCTAAGAGATGGAGGAGCGAAGATGAAAAATTGGAAAATTTTGAGGGGTTAATTGGAAATACTCAAAACATTGGCGGCTCAAAGAATGTCGTGGTTTCATCAAGAAATGGTGGTGATCAAGTTCAAGGTAATGAAGAATCATGGATTTGCCCTTCTAATTAATTAGGATTTATAATTATTTTTATGTAGTAGTTTTTATCGATTATCTCCTTACACAAATTATAATGAGTTAAGTTTATGGTTAGTGCCTAAATACATAAAGTTCATATGTATATAGAGGCACATACATTGTTGAAATAGGCCTTACCAACAAAGATTGAAACGAAAATTTGTTTATTAACCCAAATCTATTCAAATTATTTGAATAAGTTATAAAGGGTCATTAACAATTTTTATCTTGGTCATAAACGATTAATCTTTTAATTATATACCACTTTTAGGGTCATAAATGATCATCTTTGGTCATGTTCTCCATCCATTATTTCACTTCTAAGCAAACATGATGTTCAAATGGAATTTAGTGAGTTTTGTTAAGATGTTACATTCACTAACCATCTAAATACTTTCGACAATTATTTAATTTTATGTTTTAGTTCTCACTAGTGTAAATTTGTAAGTAAATATGAGGATTTTAGAGGTAACTATAAAAGTTTACATTATACATGTCATTTATGGTAGATAAATTTCTAATAAGAACAGAAGATTTTATTAAGACGGTTGAATGAGGTGGTAAGTGTAGATTTATTTGATAATGAAACTTTACCATTATGACATGCCACAACATTCAATATATTTTCAATTTAATTACCATTGAATTCTTCAATGGAAAAAATGAAAGTTTTTAAATTCTTCAATAAATATAATAAATTAGTTTTTGTATTGTTTCATTGAACTTTGAAGAGTTTGAACGTATTATATGAAAAAATTGTTATACTTCCATGGAATATGGAATTGTTATATGACAATTTATAAAATTATGGAGTTCAATGCACTGTGAATGGCGTAAGATTGGATGAAATCGTAAGCATGTTTGTATGTCTTATGTTATGTGATTGTCGTTTAAAATTCATATTCTAATTAAATCAAAAGGAATGGTCACTTTTTGGTCATATAATTTTGCTTTACATCAACTGAATCTTTTCATATCTAAAGGAATTTAACATTTTGAAACTCTATTGAGTTGAACTTTATCGAGTTGGAGTGTGGATTTAAAAATATTCGAGTTTTATGTAGATGTGAGTATAATGGGTTAAGCATGAATCATGCCTGCTTATTTTAGGGTAAACTATAGTTTTCGTCCCTATAGTTAGATGAGAGCTACGGATTTGGTCCATTCCTTGAAGTTTAACATTTGTTGTCTCTTAAATATTTTGCGACTTCAGCCTTTTATGTGGATGTCGTTTTCTCTTCACTTTTAAAGTCAACCTTAATAGGCCATTTTGCCATCATGAACCGGTTTTATTGGAGTTAAAACAGTGGCAGACACAAACTGTTTTAATAGGGGTGTCCCTCGTACTTCAAGCCGGTGCACCTAATAGAGAAAAAAAATTACACTACGTACTGGAAATTGAGCAGTGGCCCGGAACCCCGATGCTCCACTAAGGTCCACCACTGAGTTAAAACCTCATCAAATACTAAAACCTAAATTGATCTACATTTTACCACATATATACATTCCCACACATCCACAAAAACCATCTTTCGATTAACACCGAGATGGAGCCAAACGATAAACTATTAATATGATAGTATGAAAGTGCACCCAGGCGGGGGGTGCTCATGACACTTTGTTATAAATAATAACAATCTTGAACAAACCCCACAAAATGTTTATAAAATTAAACACAACATTTTAATCTATATGAATAAATTACAAAGTTATTCGATCTTCCAACCAGCATTTACAAAGATAATAAATATAAATGTGTTATATGCCAAATTTTGAGAAAAGATTGATAATTCAAACACAATGATTTATAGTGGTTAATCTTTACATCGAGAGCTTAATCCGATTCGGAGAGGAGTCTTTTAGGTCCCGTTTGATAGTTTCTATCCGGGAAAGTGCTGTCTGGGAAAGTTTTCTGACTGGGAAAGAAACTATGTTGTTTGATTATATATCTGATTGACTATGTTGAATGATGAAAAATGACAATATTATCCTGTTGTTCTATACTGTGATGGATGAAGTTGCTGAATAATTATAAAAGCATACAAATTGTAATACAAAATCAAAATTGCACAACAACCCTTTAAAAGTAGATTGGAAACTGTGTATACAACATTTTCTATATTGAATTCTCACCATTATCTTAAGAGGAGAATATGGATTTACTCACAGAATAGCTAGACACTTACAATAACAATAATCTTGAATGGTTTTACTCCAAGCCAATACATAATATGAAGCAAGTATGCTATGATTACTAGATTAAATTATACGAGTATTCGAGCTTGTAAAGATTTGAAAAACTTTAATCATTTAGAGATTGTTTATTACGATGTTTTCTTAAGCAGAAATGAACAAAGGACATCATATATCATATAATTGAAATCCCAACATTCAAATTCAAAATTTCTAAACTTGGCTAGTTGAGTTTTATAAAAAAAATCAAGAAATAAGATAAAGGCATGGTTATGAACTCCGTAAAAGTTCAGTTGTCATTTTTTGATTTTCTTTGATGCTTTTGTTGATTAAACTATCGAGTATACTCACGCCTAAAAGATTGGCCACCTTAATCTTTAATCCACCATCTTCTTCTCCACATCTTCTTGGGTATACGAGAGACACAACCTCGAGGTGGTGTTCTTGTAGCTATATGGGTGCCGTGTCATCCCCACACCACATGTGTGTGATGTATAGCCCCCGATAGTCTTAGAGCATTGGGTGTGGGCAGCACCCATATCCACCCACAACGCAGCCAGATCACCGTCTTCTCTCCATAATGAGATTAGGGGATGATGTTCCATGTTATACCGCCGTTAAGGTGAAGAAAAGCAGATGAAGAAAGAAGAAGAAGAAGACGTCGTTGTTCTAGGTTGTCGTTACCATGAGAAGCAACAAAACGAGCAAGCATGCGGTGTGCCACGCGTTAAGACGACGTTATGGGCCCTCCGCGTAGACAATAACGGCGTGGAGGGTACCCATACCGTATACTCTTAAGAAGAAACCATTTTTTTTAATGTAGTAATAAATGGACCATAGG